TTCCCGAAAATTTCCTGAAAATAACGGAAAACTTTGGGAAGTCTGGGAAATTTTCCATTTTCCACGGAAATTTTTCGGAAAATTTCCAGGGATTTCCCCCCACTCCTGCCCCCTACCGAGTACAAGACCCTCCTCTTTCGCTATCCCTACAGGCTGCGGCCCCAACCGCTACGGCATGGACTGCGGCGGCCGCTGCTCGGAGCTCGGCGAGGGGTGTCGCGGGATGCTGTTCTGCGCGCCGGGCCTTCCCTGCGCCTGCGCGCCGGGCTTCAAGGGCGAGACGTGCGACCAAGGTCGGAGAAAACAGTCCATCTTTTTGCTAAAATTGAACTACTGATTTTTGTTTATCATTTTTACTTTTTATTTGACATTTTTACATCTTTACAACATTTTTTTGCTAATTTTAAACTTTACCGACTCGTGGCAGAGTGCGACGTCGGCGAGTACGGGTCCAACTGCGCCCAGACCTGCCAGTACTGCAAGGACGGCGCCTGCGACCGCTTCACTGGCCAGTGCAGCCAGGACCGCAAGCTGCTCTTCGGCAACGGTGAGAGTCAGTTTGAATCTCGTCGAAACGAGTAATTGTGAAATTATGGGGGGGGGGGGGATGTCAGTCGTCTAGAGTCGAAAAACCTGTGTTCAAAATGTCGAAACATTTTGAGTTTGAATGCATTTTTAGACGGTCCTCAAGACTGTCTCTACCAAAAGGAAAAGATTATTTTTTTTACCCCGTACACGGTGTGCAGAGTGTGGGCGTCCGCCGAGCACGGAGGCGCTGACGGTCAACGGCATGGTGGCCACGGTGGACAGCTTCCCGTGGCACGGCGCCGTGTACATGCGACATGCCTCCGCCAAGCAGTACAAGTTCGTGTGCGGCGCCGCGCTCGTCACCCCCAGCGTCCTCATCTCAGGTGCGTACCAAGCAAATTTGGATTTTGTTACTTTTTTATAAATTTGAATTTTTGTATTTTTTAAAAAAAATATTCCTTTTACTCTGTTGCACTGCTCACACATTTTCCCACTTTTTACACTTTTCCACTTTTTTTTACCAAATTTTCCACTTTTACTCATGTTTTCGCAGCCGCCCACTGCTTTTACGACAACAACCTCAACAAGCTGCTGCCCGCCGAGCGCTACGCCGTCGCCCTGGGCAAGATCCGCAGCGGCTGGGACGCCAAGGAGACCGGGCGCGTGCACAAGAGCAAGGTGTCGGCCGTCTACATCCCGGACGCGTACCGCGGCACCGTCAGCAACTACGTCGGCGACATCGCCGTCGTGGAGCTGCAGGACCCGGTGCCGCCGGGGCCCAACGTGGCCACCGTGTGCGTGGACCCGGGGCTGACGCTGGTCCAGGACGAGCAGCTGCGCGTGGCCGGCTGGGGCGACGACTCGCCCAGCGCGCTCGACCTCCTCGAGTACGTCAACATGCCCTACCTGCCCACCAAGACGTGCTACCGCCGCGCCTCGGACCAGCTCATCAAGTACGTCACGGCCGACAAGTTCTGCTCCATCATCGAGAGCGGTGAGTTTTGCGCGCGAAAAGTTTGAAATAATCCGGTTTGAGCTCGGGCTACATACTTGAGACGCCATTATTTCGAGTGTGAAAACGCCGCTGTTCTCTAAATTTCAGAGGCGGACCAACACCTGGCCAGGGGGGACAGCGGGGGCGGCGCCGTGGTCGAGAGGGACGGGATCTGGTACCTGCAGGGGGTGGTGTCCCTGCGGCAGGGCACCAACGACTACACCTTTACCAACGTCACCTTCTCCGACCACCTGCAGTGGATGAGGGACGTGCTCAAACTGGACGGCGCCGAGCCAAAGTGATCTTTTTTTATTTGGTTCGGAAGCTGTGCGCGACACAGGCGTGGCAACTACTCCTCCACCGCGGCGTAGTCCTGCTCCAGGGCGGCCAGGTCGTCGCGGGCGTCCTGGAACTCGCCCTCCTCCATCCCCTCCCCGACGTACCTGCGGAGGGGGGCATCTCCATAAAGCCTACATGTTGTTGTTTGTTATTTTTTTGTAAATAAAAGTAAACTGGCATTTGCGTAAATCTCTCTCAAGGCATGGTTCAAATGCGTGCCCTACCAGTGCACGAAAGCGCGCTTCCGGTGCATCAGGTCGAACTTCCTGTTGAGCTTCTCCCACGCCACCCTGATGGCCGTGGAGTTGGACAGCATGGTGACGGCCCGGATGACCGGCGCCAGGTCGGCGCCCGGCACCGTGGTGGGCGGCTGGTAGTTGATGCCGATCTGGAGAGGACCAAAGACCGTCGTTATTCAAAAAGCCCGCGCGGTCCGAGCTATCTGAGCCGGTGCTCGGCTGTTTCCGCGGGGCTCCGCCGAACCTTGAAGCCCGTCGGACACCAGTCCACGAAGCGGATGGACTTCTTGCTCTTGATGGCCTGCACGGCGCTGTTGACGTCGGTGGGCGTGACGTCGCCGCGGTACAGCAGGCAGCACGCCATGTACTTGCCGTCGACTGGGCTGCAGCGGACCATCTGGTTGGTGGGCTCGAAGCAGGCCGACGTGAGCTGGCCGACGGACAGCGCCTCGTGGTAGGCCTTGCCCGCCGACACGAAGGGCGCGTAGGTGATGAGTGGGAAGTGCAGGCGCGGGTACGGGACCAGGTTGGTCTGGAACTCCACCAGGTCCACGTTGAGGCAGCCCTCGAAGCGCAGCGAGGCCGTGACCGCGGACACCACCTGCGGCACCGCGGGCAGTCACTCGCCATACTCGGATTTCTGTCGCGGGGTTCGCGCTCCGCGTTCCGTCACCGCTACGGAATTTAATTTTCCTGAAAACTAATCTCTGGAAAATTTAATAAGTTTAATTCTTTTCAATTTTTTTTCTGAAAATATTTCAATTTAGTTACCTTATTTTCTTGAAAACAAAAATTTTCCGTCTTTAAAATTTCTAGTCACCGACCAGTCACAGCACAGACCTGGCCGAGGAGGCGGTTCAGGTTGGTGTAGGTGGGTCGGGGCACGTCCAGGTGGCGGTCGCAGATGTCGTACACGGCCTCGTTGTCCATCACGAAGCAGCAGTCCTCGATCTCCAGGGAGCCGTGCGTGCAGAGGACGGCGTTGTACGGCTCCACGATCACCGGGGAGATCTAAGTGGCACCAAGACCATAGAGGGGTCAGCCACAACCCGGTGGTATGGGGGTGACGACGATCGCCCGGCGAGCGACGCCTCTGTGAGCCCAGGTGGTCGACCTGCGGGGCCGGGAAGACGGCGAACTCGAGCTTGCTGGTCTTGGAGTAGTCCTCCATGAGGCGCTCGAGCAGCAGTGTCGCGAAGCCCGACCCCGTGCCGCCACCGTACGCGCGGAACAGCAGGAAGCCCTGCGGTGGCGGAGACAGTGCGGGCATGGTCATCCTGGTGGGTACACTGGTGGGCACCATGGTAGGCACCCAAGAGGGGTTCTTCACTCAAAAAAATCAGTGTAACCCCTTAGAAAAAATCACGAAAAAATCGTTCAAAAAAATCATGAAAATATCACGAAAAAAATCATAAAAAATTAACGAAGAGTCAGAAAAAAAACACACACACACACAAGAAAAACAGAAAAATCGGTGTGCGCTACAATTTATAGTGAAGGGCCCCTCGGGCACCCACCCTAACCCACCCTGGTGGGCAGCCACTCCAGGAGACAACCACTCCAGTGGGCACCCTGGTGGGGGCCAACAGGGTTAAGACGGTGTGGTGGCCTACCTGCAGCCCCCCGCAGTCCTCCGTGAGCACCCGGATGCGCTCCAGCACCACCTCGACCATCTCCCTCCCCACCGTGTAGAAGCCCCTCGCGAAGTTGGACGCGGCGTCCTCTTTGCCCGACACCAGCTGGGACGGGTGGAAGAGGCAGCGGTACGCGCCCGTCCGGATCTCATCTGCGGGTCACACACATTGCAGAGATCTGGGTGCTGGTCGAGGCTCTGGGTGCGAGCCAGTACGTCCTGGAGGCCGCCGCGAACAGGCGCCGCCTGGCCTTACCGACGCAGGTGGGCTCCAGGTCGGCGACGATGGCCCGGGGGACGCACTTGCCCCCGCCCGTCTCGCTGAAGAAGGCGTTGAAGGTGTCGTCCTGGACGGTCCAGCACAGCTGCCCGTCCGGGGCGATGCCGTGCTCGAGGCAGTACAGCTCCCAGCACGCGGACCCGACCTGGACGCCCGCCTGGCCCACGTGCAGCGACACCACCTCCCGCTGCCGCACCACCACCACGCACTCACCACACGAGTCTCGGCTCAGCACCACCACGCACACGCACTCAGCACACGGGCCTCGGCTCAACACCACCACGCATTCAGCACACGAGCCTCGGCTCTCGAGGCAAGCCCTGATGGACTGGGGGACACTGAGGGATTGTCCTTCGCCGATCCCCGCAAGTCCCTCTGGATTTTGTAGTCCCTCTGCTGTCCTTAGACAATCCTTGTGATAATCCTGACGAAATTCTGTGATATTTATGATATCTGAAGTCCCTGAGGTGTCCTTAGACTGTCCCTGGGTTTTCACCGCCTTGCCTGTATTCAGAGTCCACCGCAAACCACATCCCTGGAGGATCCCTGGGAATTTCTCCCTCAAAATACCCGGAGATTATTCTCACTGGCGGATCCCTGAAAATACCTGAGTGATCCCTATTAAATCCTCACCCAACATCTCCAGGTATTTTCGGGAATTAACTGTAGACATCCCTCAAAAACCTCCCTCAGCAGTCCCTACTGAATTTCGCTTACTAAATTTCCATGGACCCGCGGAAAACATTCTAGAATCCTACCTATCTCTGTAGATCCTCCATTATATCCCTGAGGATTACCGGGAAATATCCAAGCAAGTAATCCCCAAGGATTCTGAGGGAGGAATCCCCAAGGATTCTGAGGGAGGAATCCCCAAGGATTCTGAGGGAGGAATCCCCAAGGATTCTGAGGGAGGCATCCCCAAGGATTCTGAGGGAGGAATCCCCAGGGATTCTGAGGGAGGAATCCCCAGGGATCTGCAGGAATGTGAACTTCTGCCAACCACCGCTAGATGGCGTTACTTTTCGTTATAAGTTCTCTGTCATGTATAACATCAGTTATTTGAAAGCCCTTTAAGATGTTTTTTCTTATTTCCGTCGTCGTAGGCAGAGAGGACATTATGGCTATCACCTGCAGTTTATATTTTGGAATCGGATCAATAGTTTTTCCTCTGCGTTAAATCTTAAACCGCTCTCGCTGGTCACAGACAACGTTCACTCAATAGGGTGTATGGACCTCCCTTTAGTTGACGGAGTCTGCCTCGATCCCGGATATGCTCTCGCTAGATGAGAAGTAGCGTCTCACTCAACACGATTTTTGACCAACTATATGCTAAATATTGCTATGGATCTCCACATAATTTAAAACTAAACAGGACAAATGACAAATACGGCGTGGCATCACTACAGGGACAAATCCCCCAAGTGTCCCCTGGGACATCCCTGTGATATTCAATTTGACACATTTGGGATTATACCTAAGGACTGTTTAAGGACTATCCCTACGGAATTCTACGGAATTCTTTCCTCAATAATCCTTGCAATATCCCCAAGTCCATCAGGGAGGGACTTACCATGTTTACCGACGCGTTGTCACATGGGCCTCAACAGATTTTTCTAAACCACCGATTGTGGCATTCCCGCTTCTCTCCCAACGTGTTTTTCTATTTTCCATTTTTTTTCCTCGCCCTGTCATTTATCTCATTTTTCCTTCTTCCAAATTACTCTTTCTCTTCTTGTTGTATTTGAGATTGGTTTTTGTATTGGTCCATGGGGGGGCTGCTAGGGGGCAGAGTGTTAAGATGGCACGTCCTGTCTTGGACGACGACAGCATGACGAGCTCAATTTCTTTTCCAGTACCTGTGCGCGGCCATGCTCGCCTCGCCGCCCAGCCCCCGCAGCGACCGGGACTTCCCTCTGGCGGGGAGGCCTCTGTTGACCGGTAACAATAGGCGACAATAGGCTTGCCTCATCAATGAACGGTCGAGAAAAGGCCACTGGGATATTATTACTCATTACAGTGATCCCAGAACACGCGTGTGGGACACACAAGAAAGAAATGCGATTCATTCTCATGTTTATTTTTATTTCAAGTACTGCAAGAATGATTAGATACTTGACGCGTACAGAAACATCAAGATTCAGTCACACATCTGGTTCAGGATGAACAGTTTCACAGGGAAAAGTAATTGAGACATCCAGGTGATGAAAAAGACCTAGGATATAAGGGCATTCTTAATGACAAACTATAATTGTGATGTGATCAATGTAACACATATAAGACAACATACATAATAGAGTATTTGTACTTAAATGCATGCATGTATAATTTATTATAAATAACTTATGTACAAAAGAGGGGGACAGTATTTTCACAGGACTGCTTAATTGTTGTATTTCACGTGGTTAGTGCTGATGTGATTGTGGTGCTTACTGACTGCTGAAGGCACAACTCAAAAAGGAAACCCATAAGGAAAACCACATGCGCAACACGATGAATTCATAAATGATATGAAATCCTTCAGAATTTAAACGAAGAAGTTGAAGTGGACAAGATCATCCAACCAGCTCTATTTACAGCCAAAACTTAGTGGTTTGATTGAGTCAAAAAGTAAAAGTTTGTAATGACATGTCACGTATGATGGAATAAAATAAGTATAAAACCTGAACATGGGTATTTGACCTCATTCACAATGATACTAAAGTCTACCCCCAAAAAATAACACATTTCCAGCTCACTTCTGTAAAGGAGTCTCAGCATACTGCAAAATTTAAAACGGAAGTAACAAAATAGTACAGGAAAGAAACTTGGTGCAAGTGTTAGTAGGCCAAAACAATACAAAGAAGAGGACATTGCTGAGATACAGCTAGGCATTTGTTTTTTTCCAGTTTGGCTCTTAGCTTAGATGGTAACGTAAAATTTTAACCAACAAGTAATATATATACAGCAATATAGGCTAAGAGAGCAGGCCACAAGACCCTATCACTGGTATACAAGTTTAAATATGTACAAATCGAAATTGGGGAATAATGGTTAACTGAAAGTACAGAGAAACCAACAATGTTACACAATGCAGCCAAATTATGTGTTCCAGAATACAAAGTGGCACCAATTAAAATAGTAAAATAAAAATAAAATATTGGCATTCTCAGGCATGATTTAGAACTTAAAAATTGTATATATGAGTGATAAAGCAGATATAATTCAATTGTAATGACACCTGTTGTGTATCTACCAAACTACTCACTTTACTCACAGCTTCAGTCTTGACGTCAATAGAATTGCAAAAAACTGCTTTTATAAATTAAATCCAGTCTGTCAGGATTTCTCGCAAAAAAGGTTGAAATTGCTTTTTTGACGGAGACAGAATTTGTCAGTTAACACTCAGAAGAGAACAATATAACACAGTGAACAGAGAAAACATCTATCTAAACTTGCTTCTGGATCCATAAATAGGCAAAAGAGAAAGATAAAATAATTTAGAGGTTACCTAAACTTTGTTCATACACTATACAGGGATATATTTATATGTTTATGTACAGAGAAAATATACAAGAAAACACATAAACTCCTTGTTTAAAACAAATTATGTACAAACCTTCACATAAATACTATGAAACATACCAAGTGTGTCATGTTACAATTTTAAAATCTTGATTTGTTAATACATACCTTACTCAAGCTAATTTAACTTTCTAAACCTATTTACTTAACACATACATATTCAGAAAGTAACTTTCAAACAGAACATCAACCAAGAAGTGAAGATTAAAAGTAAACAAGATTGCTGAAGATTTCAACATTTTGAAGGAGCTGAAGAAGAGTTCCTAATCAACAATAGATATGACATAATCACGAGCATTAGATGTAATTTGTTAAGTTAAAGTTGAAGTATTCAATTGCTGATGATAAAATATAAAAGCAGCTGACATGTTGTAATACAATTGGACTTAAGTTTTGCTCGGTACCAGTCTTAAGAAAAGAGTGGGGAAATAACCTATGTTACATCACAATCAAACAAATGTGTCATCCATGGAACCATGCAGATGACACAAGACATAATTTAATATTCATTCACCACATGAAGTTAATAAAATACTCATAGGGACAGTAAACACTATAAAGCTACCTTTCAAACTTGATTGATATTACTAGAAAAGTAATAGAACACAAAATTTGAAAACAGATGCTAAATTTATGACTCAACAGATCCATCAAGATCATCTGATGGCAAATCACCTTCAGATCTTGGTTCCTCTTCTTGAGCCCTAGGGGGCTCGTCTAGTTTCTCCATGTACTTGAGCACAGTCTCTGTTGCTGCCAAACCACGGCTGCTACCAGTAGCCTAATAAGATGGAAATTGTGCAAAGAAATTAGTCAAATACAATGAAAACTGAATGAAAGAATGTTAAAATCTAAAGATAGCAGACAAACTTACTGTGACAGTAAGGCTCATGAAGTTGAAGAACTTTTTCAACACAGCAACTATTACTTTATAGTTCCCTTCTGGTAGAAGTCTACGGACCATCTCTTCATGTTCCTAGAAATTCAATCAATAATTAGAATATGCAGGACTGAAACTTGCTAAAATAAATAAAATTTAAAACAACTGAATAGTATATAGGTACCTGATTATTCATTATAACATAACCAATAAGTAAACCAATGTAAGCAGCAACAAAGGTATGTTCCATATGTCGTCCAGCTTTGGCAAGCACTGAAATAAAATTGCCATGAGTCAAAGCGAACAAAGCTCCCATATTTGCATTAAGACTGATTTATTGATTTCTTACATTTAGCTACTGTCTCTTCAATTTGTTCGTCTTGAGTTTTACTTGCTTGTTGCTTTGCAGCTTTATCTTTTTCTTGCTTTTCCCTCTCACTCTCCTCCGTTGTATCCTTCCCATCAAGAATTGCATCAGTCTTTGCCTCTTCATTACGGGCACATTCCTCTTGCTGATAGAACATTGCGATAAGAGCTTCGATAGCTCCCTTTTGGTCACCTAAATACAAGAATTGAAAGCTCATTTCAAAATATGCACAGTAAAGATAGAAAATACTGCTGGTTATTTACATATAAATGCACTCTGATTGACCAGTATGATACCACAGGTAAAAAACTTACAGGCAAAGATACTTCCTACTTCTGCAGGAGCCTTAGTATTTACAAGTCTGGACCTATTGCCAATGTTGTGTTCAATCAGATTTATTAGAAGTGTTAAAGCCTGAAAGAGAGGTGTAAAATGAGTATGAGTTATTTAAAAAACAAAAAGTATTAAAGGAGATTTAAGTAACTCACCAATACAATGAGATCAAACTTGGAATCTTCAACTACATAATTGGGAATATGAAGAAGCATTTGTAATGATGATTCCAACAACCCTTCCTTCGTACCAACTATTGTACTACCATAAACTGAAAATAATGACACTAGTGTTAAAAACTGCTAGAGGTTTAGAAAATTTCAGCCAAGAAATACATTAATTAGTACTTTTGAAAAAGAAACAGAACTTACTCTGCGCCTTGAAATCATGTGATAAATTTATTAAAACCTTAAGAACGGCAAGAAGGGCTTCTCGCAGAACTACACCAGTGGAATCTTTATCAGTGACATCATAGACAGGATATAAAGGCACTTCATTTCCACAAAGTCGGAGTAATCTAACAAGAACATCAACCAATGAGGCATTTTCGTATTTCAGAAGGTAAACTTGATTTTCTTCATTTTCTTGTGTAACCTGTAAAAAAGGCATACATGTAAATGAATTTAAAAGCAAAGAAATGCATGACACTATACTATAAATAAGAGAAACAAGGAATTATGTTATGAAAACAGTACTTACATTTTCTAAAACCCTGAGACATCGGTCAACCTTCCGCATACGGTCTAATAAAGGATCTGTCCATTTTACAACATAGTCATCAATTTGACTACAGCATTGGCATATAGTTCGAACAATGTGTTCTAAACCTCCCAGTTCACGTAGTTCTTCTTTAAACCACTCTCCAGCACGACGGGAAGTTAACGATAGGAGTGTTTCCATAGCCAACTGTCCAACCTGAAATTATTTTTTTATGAGCACAGGTAAGGGTTACACAATACTAAATTACCAACCTTGGATGAAAATATTGTTGACAGCTTACAGTGATATTATCAAGATTTAGATGCTTTGCATGGCCTTGGCTTTGAATTTCAGCGCAAAGTTCACGAACTTTTTGTTTGTTTTTCAAAAGCTGTGAGCTGGATAGCCCACAATCTTCAAGTGCGTTGAGATGACTTGCATCCGATTCCAAAAGATTCAACATCAATTCCAAACTGTCTCTATCAAGGTCCATGTTCAGTCGATCTTGACTAAGAGCAAACATAACTGTTGCAGTGCAAAGACCCAAACTCTATAGAAAAGAAAGTGAATTGGATTGGATATTAATAGAGATGAATGTAAGAATTAGAATAAACAACTTTTGTAAGGAATATGTACCTGGTCCCTTGCAGCATCATGAAGGGATTTAAAGAATTTGGCAACAGTCCCATGAGCACGGACATGCATTCTAAAGGCTGGAACCATGCACTTCGATGCCAAAGTGATTGCAGATAAGCACCTTGTAGAGGTAAAAAATGTTAAGCAAACCATTATCTGGGTGGCCAGAAATAGAGTTCAGAGCATTGAATCTCATTAGCATTGCTCACATACCTTGTTCCAATAGGGTTCTGTTCCTGAAGCGCATCTAGGATATAATCAACATCGTCATTTAATTCTTGGAATTCTCCTGATTCCTGAATTTGGTGAGCTTGCTTGACATTGCGAACCACAGTATAGAACTAAAATCAAAAAGTTGTAAAAAGATTAGATTTTTATTGGATTTGGTATGGGAAACCCCACAACAAAATACCATGATAGTGATTTCAACTTACTCCTTTGGAATTTTTGGCACATTTGACACTGGTTACAGTTTCAGTATTTTCATCCTCCTTCTTTTCTGTCACTACTTTAGTTAACTGTTCTGGGCCGAACTCATCATCGACATTATAAGCACTGGTAGAGGGTTTTGCTAAAGAGGTAGATGCTGAAAATCAGAATAAAATAGAATTAGCTAAAATTAAAGTATGTAAAATACATTCATTTTTAATAAAGCTATGATAAATTTTACCAGTGTTCTCAGCTTCTGCTGTGTTGGAGCCTTGTTGAGAAGCTTGGTTGTCACACCATTTGTGCTTGTAAAGAGCTCTCTTTTTGTTTTCATCAGTCCCATGAGCGCGACTCTTGAAAATACTGCCTTTCTTCCGTGGAGGAACAACAGCAGATGAATATCTTTCAGAGGTATCGGTCTCAGTGTTGCCGCCACCATGTTCTAAACTGGAATAAACATCCATTGCGTCCCCATTTCCCTCATCGTTTGTATAAGAGATTTTTGAAAGTAATGTTGAGGAGCTAGTGGCTTCCATAGAATCACAGTGCATAGAACTCGTGGCATCCATCAAGGATCGTGCATCACTGGGAGTGGGGGTTCTCTCATCTGAGGTTTGGTAGGTTTTAGAACTCATGGTTGGGTTATCAGTAGAGCTCGCTGAAATCGATGATTCCATTGCTTGTCTGTTACGGCGAGCAAAGCGTTCACGCGCTGTCATGTGCTCTAAGGGTTCTGTGGCCTCTGAGGGAGCTGTCGATTGATATGACGAGGACGAGGATGATGACGGTGCTTCATAGGCCTGGGCTGGCTGGAAGGGTGGCTCCCCTTGCTCGTAAGTGGGCACTTGTTCATATGCTGGTGGTAACTGATACGCTCCTGAAGACTGCTGATAAACCGATCCTGATGGGTACGCAGGTGCCCCATCGTAGGGTGGCGGCTGGTACCCAGCAGAAGAAATTTCTCCAGCTTGTTGATCAAAAGCGGGAGCATGGCTCACAGTTGCAGAGTCTGATACTTCTGGCTGTGAGTTCTCACCCTCAAATATTGCAGCAGGGAGTACAGATGGAGGTACCTGGAAACAAAAAGGAGATGGTAATTATATTTTGAACAAAACCAATTGAAATGAACAGTGGCATAGTAAAAAAGATGAGTTTGGAGTGAGGGTGGGCTATTTCTTTCATCTAAATCTAATTCATCTCTCAAATTTGACCGGCAGTACATTTTTGAAAACCTACTCCCATCATCCCCAGAAGCGCCAACCGCATTAAATGCACATGAAAGGTGACAAATTAGTGATTCATTAAATGCGTGTAGAGTGCACTAAATGCGCACTAAATGCGTATTTAATGCTGTAATTTGCTTTAAAAGCGTCACCAATGTGTCACCTTTCATGTGCATTTCAATGCGCATTGAAGCGCATTTAATGCGGTTGGCGCTACTGGCGATCTTAACTATGCCACTGTTTGTACTTGGACACAATGCAAACTGCAAACTGATCAGATCAACAATAAGGACCAAGCACGCATCACTCATATACCAAGAGCTCAAAAGCTTAGCAAAAGGCTTGAAGGCAATATGCTAGAAATAAATTATTTTTAAAGTAAAAATAAAATACGTAATTAACTTAAAATAAAGGGAGCAAAAACAAGGGTATAATATCCGTAAGAGGTTGACTGCTAAAAAGAAGACAAACTGAAAGAAAAATCCTCATAAAGGGACAGCAAGCATAAACATGGCTAAAACGAATTGACATTTACAGCAGTACACAAAGACAAACTATAATATAAAAACTAAATTGTATTCATACAAGCATTACTATACTATGACAGAAATCTAGACAACCGGTAATTGGGGCATTGCAGAAGTACTGAGGAACATGATAAATACTACAATGCAACTTACTATAATAAGACAATGGTGTAGCTACAGCAACAAAATAGTTTCACACTCAACAATTAAATTAATGCATTCATTGAGAATCAATGCAACCTCACCAACACATTGCATTGAAAGGCATTTTTTTAACAGGATGAGATAAGTAATTGCTGCTAATCAAAAGAATATACTTCACTGGGATTTAAGTAGATACAAACTGAGAACACAAAAAGGGTTTGCACTAGAGACAAACAAATGAGGCACATGCATTACAGAAGAAGGATGGGTAGGAAAAAAGAAATTTGGAATGCAACATACGTGGGGAGGACTGCTGATTGATACTTAAAAAACCATGAGTGCAAATTTGGAATTAGAAGTTTAAAGTTAAAAAACGACACTCTGTGACAGTGAGTGATGGTAATAAAACAGCTACTGTATTGTACTTCAGGCTTTTGAAAAGGTTGGGATTTTCAAAGTCCCTGCCATGACTTATCCCTGATTTGAGCTTTCCCTTACATTTCCCAGAAAACAAATATAATTTTTAAAATGTCAAAATAAAATAAAAAAAATTAGTAGCAACATTTGCAAGTGTGGTTCATTTAATTTATTTTCCATTTATTTTTCAATTTTCTCTGACAAGATTTCCTTGACAGAAATTTATATTAATGTCTTTGCCCTGACTTGTAACAACCCTCTAACTTGAAATCAGATGTTGCACTTCAAATGGGAAAGCCAGAGGGCAATTCCACAAACTCTACCACATCTAAGCTGAGATTTTGAGTTTATCAGTAAATGAGGTGGGCAGAAAAATATCTTTGGACCAGCTTGAGAGTAAAACTACCTGCCGATCGTTCAACAGCATCTCAAAAGGGTGAAATTCCAAAGAAGTAAACCAGTTCCTATGAATATTTTCTACAACTTTTTAAGATTGAAAATATCTGTACCAAGATTTAAGGCTGAAAGCAGAGATTTGACTGTCTATGCAATATTACTACTTAATTTTCAACAACTAATAGAGGATGCTGTTAGACTTAGGACACGATAAAAGAGTACATCATTTGAAAGAAAGTGGATTAGTCAAACAAAAGAGAACATTAAGTCTTTCTACAACACCGCTGAATCTTTCTGTAGAATTGCCCCAAAACAACATGGCTAAAGGAAGGAGGAATTAAAATGAAATGACACAAAGAGCAGAGAGGGAATAAAGAGCAGAGAGGGAATAAAGAGCAGACAACGAGAGTTGGGTAGGAAAACTCAGAGCAAGCATTGAGTTACTGAGCAAAATCCTGCATCAGACAAACTGTAACATCATTCTGTGTCATGCATACACAGCACATAAACAATGTTGAGTAAATTGATGTTACATTGCTATTCAATGCTCAGAAAAAGAAAAAAAAAGGAAAAAAGAAAAATATTAAAGAGGCAATATTGTAGGTATGACTGCTCAATGAGGGGAGCAATATCAAAAGGTGCCACCAGAGAGGATTATTGCAGCAAGAAATTACGGATAGTAAGTAAGTTTAACAAAATTTTAGCATGGGATTGTGCTCTACAAGGAAAGCCTGTTGAGCGACATCTACAGATGTCGTTTTAGGGTATGAATGGTGCAATAATTAAATTGCTCAAATGTTTTCAGCAAGTTTTCGGATGGCACCCAGCAACATATCAGGGGAATAGAATGATGCACATGAGACACAGAAAGAGTAAGATAAAACACCTGAATTGGGTAGGGGTGATAGTAGACAGGGAACAGGTCACTCCTGTAAGGAATACTCCATAGGGGACGCTATGGAAAAAGGAGAATATCACATATTAGACGAAATCTACAATAACACATTACACATAGGAGGTCCCACACCTCTACTGCTCAACAGAATCTAGATTACAACAAATTATCTGCCTTGACTAGAGTTCCAAAGCTCTAGCCCTGACTTACAACCTCATTTATCGAGGAGAAAAGAAAAAGAAAGGGACCTTTGATAAAAGAATGTTTTGTACAGCAAAACTGGAGAATGCTCACAAAAACCAGGTACATACCAACAACAGTTCAAAGATCTGAAAAATGCAATTTATATTGAACTCAAAACAAGGGCTCCTTCTACTGGCACTTACTTAAATGGAACTCTGATGCATACTTGCAAACTGAGGGATCATCAAGTTGTGCACTATACCAACTCTCTTAAATATACTGGAAGGCACAAGGTATCCTAGAGCAGAACCATGCTGTCATGCCAAAACTAAATAAATTTAAATTTCTAACTGTGACGAATAAAAGATACAAAAATTGTATGGATGAACCATTACAATTTCTACCTAAACTTCAGAACAATTGTTTTCTTTCTTTGACAACAAGACCAAGTAGAGAAAAAAAAGAAAGGAATATTTAATCAACAATGGTTGTTTCAAATGGGTACTGGTTCAGTTTGGTATGGTAAATAATAGAAATGAAAAAATTAAAGGAACCTCTGACAAGAAAGCAGTGGATACTTTGTGCCCATTATAGACAGTTGTAACTCTAGCATTTGTAAAAGTATACATAATTCTGATTCAATTTCAATTCCATTCCCCTCCCGGTCAATGTGCTTCTAGAAATGTTAACATTATTGAAGACTAGGTATTCACAGGCTAAGTAAAGCAGGCAAAAGCTCAAAATTTATCTAATTTTCTTTCTTCTAATACTATTAGTAATGTGATGGGCATATATATAGAAGAGTACGGACTTGTAAAATTACTTCTGTTGAAATATACGATGGTGATCAATCCCAAACTAGAATGTATACTGGCAGGGGTACTTACAGAAGAGGCCTGGTGAAGGAGGGAGAGCTCAGTCTCATTGAAGCTGCTTCCAGCTGCATAAATGGACGACTCATCGGGCACTGAACTGCCAACTGCAGGTGGGGTGCTGGTTGATGATGCCTCCTCAGTGTTCACTGGTTCTTCAGGTACAGATCTGGTTTGTGGACTGCAAAGACAAGTGAAACAGTTAAAGAGCTGGTTAAAAAAAATGAAAAACATCAGATAAATGTCACAATTAGAAAAAGCCCCAATCCCCCAAAATGAACAAGCAATGTTAATATTAATCTAACGGGCTAACCTATAAGGATTATCTGAGGTTGCAGACGCCTCAGGTGACGCGTACAAATTGTAGCTAGAAGAGGTGTCAACAGCACTAGATTGGTTTGCTGTTTTGTCAGCAGCGCGTCCATAACCATAGCGGGCTGCTTTCTTTGGAGTGGGTATGAATGGAATAGGGTCAGAATCAGTTTCTGAAGTCTCCATTGCAGCAGCTTGTCGTCTGGAGTATCGCTGAGCACGAGATGTGGCAGTGTTTACAGGGAGCACTGTCTCATCGTCTTCCTCCTCCGTTGAGCGTTCTTTTTTACTGCCTTTTTTATTACGAGGAATACTGCTCTGCTTACTTCGGGATGTATTTTTCACCAAATCATGCTCTTCAACCAACTGAACTTCAAATTCATTGCCCGGACTTGTAGGAGTTGTTGTTGTACTAACAAGTTGAGAAGTGCCTTTGAATATTCTTAAAACTATTGGCGGTTTATTAGTGTCTTTTTCAGCATCTGTGATTGTGCTGCTAGAAGGTTGAGTTCCTGGAGGGCTTGGAGTGCGCGCCATCATTTTCCTGCTAGCAGCTGTGCGCATTGGTCGGATAGGATGTTCAGTGTCATCAGGAACATTGCTCCCAAAAGACGCCACACTAGATGCCTTAGTTTCTGCTGCAACAGGGGCTGGGTCAGCATTCCGACTCTTGAAAAACTTTTTAGGTTTGATGACTGGGGGTGCACCCGAATCAGAGTCATTGTCAAATGAAAATGAGTCATTTGATTTGCTGTTTTGAGAGTCTGTTCTCCCTCTTTTGATTCCTACAACAGTTTCCCGCTTACCTGAAAAAGTAAGGAGTGTGTGATAAGGGCCAGTAAGCAACAAAACCAGAATTTTTTCTCACACAAGACAACTTACCACTTGTGGTACTAGAGCCAATTGCATTGGAGCTTCGAATAGATGTGAAGGATGTGATGCCCCATTTACCAACAGTTCCAGCAGACTTCGCTGCTGACGGGCGATTGCTATTCTCTTTGAAGAGCTTGTCAAACTGTATACTTGTGGTGCAAACATTGCCCACTTTGCGGCCAAAGCCCTTGTGTGAGTAGTGCCGAGACATTGTACACACCTCTGAAACATAGTAGTATTTGAAAAATACATATTTGCAGCAAAGTAATGACAGAAATATTAAAGAAAAGAGAGGGAAATGTCTCAGTTAATAATTCAAGAGCAAAACCACTCTAACTTACCAAACACCCACAAAGGGCAATAGCAAAAGTCAATTTAAGTCACAGCGTCTGTACGCTACTATGACAATCATTCTACTCTGAAACCAAAGAAGAATAAAGAGATGACTTAAAACAAAATTTGTGCTTTGATAACATCCCTAGAAACTGGAACAGATGTATGATGTGCAAACGAGATACACTTAAAAAGGGGCACTATTATCCAGTCAAAAATCTCGCGCCAAGATCTCGAAATGTAAACAAAATTCCAAAGCAAGAAACAAATAAACTAAAGTCTTTGATGAAACTTTCCATGAAATATGAAAGAACGTTTACTTGTTGGAGTCTTCTACTACAGAGAAGAGGCGACGAAGCAGGGTACGCCTTTAAATCGTGCCCGTCGGAATATTGTCCAGATTGAGAATAAAATATCAATGAAGTTCAGACGATAGGCGATGAAGCAACATACCTACAGTGGATCGCACAGATCCCTAGCTTGATTGAAAACCCCCAACATTCGGTGGACAAATTAAAGGGGCTGCCCTGAAAACCATCAGTTCTTGGTTTGGCGGTCAGAGTAACGCTCCAGGATCTAGACCGACGTAGTCCTGAGCATCAGACAATAATGCTCACTTCTTTTTACGAATTAACATTATCCTCAAAAAGCGTCTGCGACGTAAAAACTCTCGGGAATTCAACAAACAACAGACCACCAGTAGCCATAATTTTCTGAAATCCGCTTGAAAACCTACAGGCTAAGGTTTACAGCAGAGTATGGGCGGCTGCTCTCCGACTGCAGACGGAATCAGAAAAAGAAAGGAGCGTGTTGAACTGCAATCTGCAGTCCTACAATCCCAACTCAAATATTATATTTTTTTTAAAAAGCAAATTCAAATTTAAATTCAGCGAATAAAAAGTTCCTGATTCTGTATTAGAGATAAATATTGCCTGTCAGCCAGGTGCAGTACTCCCGTTATCAAGTCTTTATCGACGTTATACACTAACGCCACCTACCGTGAGAACACGCGTACTGCGGCATGATAGCGAATTTGAGGTTATTTGTGTCGGTATTATCTTCTGCTGCGCAAAGAAGGTACAGAAAACAAGGTTTGATTGTTTGCAAAAATAAACCAGATGCCATTAAGATTTAGTCCCCACCTCGTGCGAAGTGGGTCACCACTTCCTAAACGCGCTGGGGGTGACTTTTTCATTCATGTCAAGTATTTTCAAAACATGGTGGTGTAGACAGCGGCTTCACCCGCTTTTTGACACGGTTGCACAAACGAAACTCTGCTTATGGACACGTAGACTTGTGTATTGTCCCGAATTCCTCGATGTGTTTTCACTAGCCCACTCGCCAGTTTTTATTTTAAACATTAAAAAATTAGAGGCCAAAGTAATCTGTCATTTGGCTGACTTGGCCACGTTCACGTATGTTACTCCAAAAATCTGTCAATACTATTGCTGCCTTGCTAGAATTCACATTAAATGATATCCAACTATTCACCCCCACCCCTGTCAAAATCAGTGGCACGTGCCATTAAAATTCCAGTGTTGCATCAGTTCCTTCGCCTGTCAGTTGCATTCGATTTCATCATGTTCTGTATTTTTTTATCAGGCACATCATGGCTAAACGCACGCAGCCAAAATGGGAACCTCCCTCCAAGACTCCTGTACCAGTTTTAAAATTGTACAACAGCCTTACTCGACAGAAAGAAGAATTCATTCCTCAAGGTGGGAAGAAAGTTACGTGGTACAGCTGTGGACCAACTGTATACGATGCTTCTCACATGGGTCATGCTAGGTATGTTTGGAATTTCATTTCTAAAATTAATGATCACATTTCATTCCTAGCATTTATTGCTTTCACAAAAACACAATTTCAGCTTCAGTTTATTGTAGTTACTTCTATGCCTAATTTTGTTTTTCCTCTCACTCCCAGATCTTACATATCTTTTGATATTTTACGCCGTGTTCTCTCAGACTACTTTAAATATGATGTCCAATATGTTATGAATATTACTGACATAGATGACAAAATTATCAAGAGAGCACGGCAGCATTATTTATTTGGTCAGTATTTAGAAAAGGAACACAAGTTACCACAAATTCTTGAAGATGTTGATGCAGTTGTCAAGAAATTAAAAGGAAACATCCAAAACACTACTGATCCCGACAAAAAAACAATGCTTGACCAGATGTTGAGCCGTGTGGAACTTGCTGTAGGTGAAGTAGAATCTGCTGTAAAATCTGGAGACCAAAATAAAATTATTTCAGCAAGAGAGGTAAGATAATTTGGCGATGAATATTTATGAAAATTTGCGTGATTTAAGCATTCTTTTTACTGTTGTATGAACTGAAAATTACTTTCTCTTCAGCTCTTGTTAAATGTTGCCAAAGATCCACTGTCCGACTGGTTAGATGGAAGTTTAGGGAGCTCAGTAACTGATAACTCAATATTCAATGAACTTCCCCGCCACTGGGAAAGTGAATTTCATAAAGACATGGATTCTCTTAATGTAGGTCTTATACTGTTTATTTTATTCTTTTTAAATCTTTGGTGTTTATTATTCAAATGTCTAATTTGTTTTTATTGTGGCAGGTATTAAGGCCGAATGTACTCACCAGAGTCAGTGAGTATGTGCCAGAGATTGTTGATTATATCCAAAAAATTATTGATAGGGGTCTAGCATATGAAGCTGGAGGCTCAGTGTACTTTGATGTAGCCAAATTTGATGCACAAGCAAACCATCATTATGCTAAACTTGTCCCTGAAGCATTTGGAGATGAAAAACAACTACAGGAAGGCGAAGGTTTGTTATTGATACTAGTTTACAACAATTTTTGTAATTAAATATGATGCAATGTCAGTATCAAATGGAAGTATCTATCCTTTCTTTAAATCTTCAGGCGACCTGAGTGTGGGCAATGATGGAATAAATGAGAAACGGTCTGCCACTGATTTTGCTCTTTGGAAGAAGTCTAAAGCTGGAGAGCCAGTGTGGGATTCTCCTTGGGGAAAAGGTCGTCCTGGCTGGCACATTGAATGCTCTGTCATGGCTTCAGCCATAATGGGATCATCTATTGACATCCACACTGGAGGCGTTGACCTAAAGTTTCCTCACCATGACAATGAATTAGCCCAGTCTGAGGTAAACCAAACTAAAGTTGAAAATGTTATGAGTTCTCCAACACAGCATTAGCATTAATGTTTCTTTTACAATTGTTAATTTCAGGCTTACTTTGACAATGACTGTTGGATTCGTTACTTCTTACACTCTGGTCATCTGACAATATCTGGCTGCAAAATGTCCAAGTCATTAAAAAATTTTGTAACTATTCAAGATGCATTGAAAAAACACTCTGCAAGACAACTGCGCTTGGCTTTCCTTCTGCACTCATGGAAAGATACATTGGATTATAGTGAAAACACTATGGAAGTTGCAATCACCTATGAAAGGATGTTGAATGTAAGTTACCTATTTCTTGTACCAAATGATCCGCTAATTTCATCAGCCTGTGTCTGACTACTTTTTTTTCTTTTTTGCACCAGGAATTTTTCCTTAATGTCAAGGATCTATCTAGAAATGTTGGTCAACAGACTACAAATGATTCATTCCAAAAATGGAGCAGCAAAGAGCTGGAACTGAACCAAAAGTTTTCTGAAGCAAAAGACTTGGTTCATAGTTTCTTGTGTGGTCTGTATTTATGTACTATTTTATAGTGTATACCCATAAAAAATTCCCTATTAATATTAATAATATTTTTATTTGGTTCAGATAATGTTGATACCGCTGGTGCTCTGAAAGCCTTAAGAGATCTTGTATCAACTTGCAATTTGTACCTAGGGGACAAATCACCCGATTTTTCAGCCAATGCACTTCTTCTCAGAGACATTGCATCATACATAACTGGAATGCTTCGCACTTTTGGAGCTCTCTCTTCTGATTCAACTATAGGTTTTCCACTTGCCTCAGCAAGTAGTTCTGGTTTTGATGTAAGTTTTTCTCTCGTGATCATTCATTATGAAATCATATAGTTTTTCTTATAAAAAACAAAATATAAGAATGCTCATTTTTGGTTCCCCAGTTGGAAGAGACAGTTATGCCGTATGTTCGCATACTAGCTGAATTCCGTGATGGTGTCCGCACCCAAGCTCGTGAGACAAAAGATGTGGAAATTTTGAAGCAGTGTGACAATCTCAGAGACAATATCCTACCTACTGTAGGAGTCCGTCTTGAAGATCGGGAGGGTGAGTATTCTACTGTGCGCAAAGGAAATCTGTGTCTTGCCAAGAGTAGTTCTAATCTAATCTTAATAATATGTCTCTTTCCAGTTCCTCCAGCTAGAGTGAAGCTTGTTGATAAAGAGACTCTGCTCAAAGAGAGGGAAGCCAAGCAAAAATTAGAAGAAGCAAAGGCAGCAGAAAAGGAAAGAAAAAAGAATGAACTTGCCCAAGCAGCTGCATTGAAAGAGGCAAAACGGAAAATAGCCCCAAATGAAATGTTCCTTCCAGAAACAGACAAATATTCAAAGTTTGATGAAAATGTAAGTTCATAGATAAGGGTAAATTCTGCTAGGTCCCCTCACTAGAAGGTCCCCCCCTATTATTTTAT